CGCTTTTCTTCTAATTTTGTTAGAAATGCCTCCAACAATTATTTGTTCCTCGATTTCGAAGTCGGTATCCGTAAAGGTACAATTGACAGAAAGATGTCGGAGCCGTGTGTGAAAATGATCTAAGGTCTCCCCTTGTTCCTGGCGAGTTTGGCGAAACTTGTATACTTCATACCGACGGTTTGTTTGAGGCTCGAAATATGCAGTGAGTTTATCACGAGCCAGTTCATAATCAGCGGCAGCGCCTGTATCAGGAATCTGGCTGAAAATTTCGCGAACTCGGGAACCTGCTTGATGAAGTAAAATGGCTCGTTTGCGTCCAAGATCTCTTATACCACTGGCAAGAATATATGTGTCGAAATCACGAAGCCATTGTCGCCATCTCGTAGAAAGACTAGCACCAACTTCAATATCTGGATCAAATTCAGGAAGTGGGTGTAGATTTAGACTGAAAGCCATCCTTCATAACATATGCTATGTTATTATGGTTTTATCCTCGTCGCCAATGTTATATTCTCTTAATTCCGTAGGCCAATTCATATAGAAGACACTTCGTTTACTTTCATATTCGAATCCAAAACACAACTCAACTAAAATTCCATAACACCCTTATTAATATAACCAAGCATAACAAAACAATTGTTGCACAGGGCAACCAAAGCAAGGTTCAGCATATTACTCATAATAATAATAATAATGAAGGTTCACTTTATGACACAAATTAGCATTCATTTCATTTTCCTAAGGTGATGTTTTTGAAGCTAACAGCTCAGTTGTTTTTTTGCTTCATTATAAAATCTACGGAATAACTATTTAATCAAGTCTTTGCTTAGCCTATGCAATTTTAACAGTTTGAAGATTTTGATCAACGAAGTGATCTTTATCATAACTGACGTCATCATGTTAGACTTGATACACCACAAAACTCAGCTAAGCATCAAAAGTACCCTGTGTCTTCTTTTTTCGGTCTGATTTCTTACGCTGAAGTTCTTAAGTGACATCAATGTGTCAAAATAAAATTAGGCTTGTCCATAAATTCTAATTTTGTATTTCTGGACAGTGTCCAGACGTTTAACCTATAGGGCAGTAGAAATTCAGATCTGTGTATCCACTTCTTTCTGTTCTCTGCATGTTCCAACTCTGGCATCTTCGTTTTAAGTCCCCACCTTTAGTTTATCCGTCAGCGTTAACTTTGCCCTCCCTCAGAGCATTTTCATTTGTTTATTCAGGGCCAGGGGCATGCCACACCTATTGCTTTTAATAAAACGTTTTTTGTATGAGGAGGAAACATTTGGTATGGTTCTGATTTTGTAAAGTTTAATTTTGAATCCATAAAGGATTTTGTAGAAGACAAGCACTGAAAAGCCATTATCTCGTCTTTTTCTTTATCACTACCAGGGAAGGAAT